GCATATCAAATCCATGTTTCATTAGTACTCAACATTACACACTCTTCCACCCCCACTCAATTATCTATTAAAAATTCAATAACCTCCCAAGTTGTGAACAGCTTATTTTTGCAATAATATAAAGATTTTTTTTTTAAATAATGTATTATTCTTTTTTTTTTTAATCACTATATGAGTTCTTTTCTCCGATGTAATGTTCTACCAGCGTATTTTCGTCTATGTTATAACTTCCAAGATGTAAAATATAATAAACTATGGTAGACAAGAGAACTATAATCTTATAAACTAGTAAAATAGTTAAATAAGTTACAAAGCAGCAGAGACCATTAATATTTTTTTAGTTTCTTATACAACTCACGTAGGCTTCACGTGAAGCCTTTGCTTCATTTTCCATTCATAAGTTCTTTAATTTATCTTCGTTTTAAATTTTTAATTCAGTCACAATGATACTATTTCTTTTGGGAATTGGCAAAAAAAAAAAAAAAACGAAGTGTGACAATTCCATAATCTTTTGCTTTTTGTATTACACTAGTACTATCAATCAAACATCTGTTTTCATACCAAAATTTATTGTGATAATAATAAATCAATCAAGTTACTCCAATGTATTTCTCTAGTTTTGGTTTTAAAATAGAAAAATTCTGATTTATACTCCAATTTTTCCTCTAAAAATAATATTCCAAATACATTCTATTTTTATTTTAGTGGTATTATCTTTTATTTATAAAAGTTGAAAATTAAATCATTTACTTTAATTTTTAGAAAATTTTCATAATGGAATCAATGAAAAATAAAATAAATAATTTATATATTTATAAAACTGTATGTAATTTCTCTTTTGCAAATAGTAGTCTCAAATTTTAGAATAGATGTTTATACCAAAACCTCTAAAATCAACCCAAAATATTAATTTTGGGATTTATTGTCTAAAATGCCATTTTTTTGGGAAAACTTACGAAAATGCCATTTTTTGAATAGTTTACGGATTTTGCCATTTTTAAACACTTAAAAATGTATGTATTTATGATTTTTTTTGCAAAAATATGTACTTTATACCAAATACTAAACCCTAAGAACAAATGGAACCGACTAAACCCAAACATAACGAGTGAAACGCATGTTAAATCATATTTTTGGAACCTGAAAAATGGCAAAATCCACAAACTATTCAAAAAATGGCAAAATCCATAAATGCCTTTATGAAAAATGGCAAAATCCGTAATTAATTATTCTATTATAGAGGAATAGCAAAAAATAGCAATATCTATTTTAGATGTAAAAATAGAGATGCGTTAGAGTATATTTTACTCTAAAATAAAGTTTAGAGGCAAACATAGAGGTGGGTTGGGATCCTCACGACTCCGTCTGTCCTATATTAAATCATCTAGACACTCGAAGTTATGTTTTTTTTTTAAATCATTTAAGTTGACAAGAATTAAATAAATATATTTAAGTTGTAAGGATTTTAAGATTGTTATAAATATATGTGAGGCTGTAAAAATATTAAAGGGAAATTGTTAAAAATACTCCTTTTGGTGTGTCATTTTTCAAAAATGCCCCTTTTAGATGTCTATTTTCAAAAATGCCTCTTTTTAAATCTGAAATTTTTTATAAAGTTTTATTAGGTTTATAAGGTACTTATGGATTGTAACTACTACTTGAAGACTCGATCCAAGTATTTATAAGGTTTTATAAGGTGTTTTTAAAGGTTTTACAAGTTATTTTAAAGGATTTTTAAGGTTTTTCAAAGGTTTTACAAGATATTTTAAAGGTTTTTAAAGATATTCAAAATGCATTTATAAGGTATTTATAAATTATTTATAAGATTTTAGATACATAGAAATGTAGTTTGTGTATGTTTTAATAATATTACATACATATTTGGGTAAATCTTATATTTTTAAGAGCATTTTTTATAAGGTTTTGAAAAGGGGTATTTTTGAAAAGTGGCATTGAAAAAGTGGCATTTTTGCAAAAGCCCCAATATTAAATCATGTGGATATAATATGGTTTTAAAAGCTTTAAAAATATTAACTTCCTACACTTCTTTTTTTTCTTCTACCCAACCAGCTCTTATATTTGATATGTAAATCCATTTGTCTCTTAGCTACTATAAATGTGTTTGGAGGTGAATGTAAATCCATTTGTCTCTTAGCTACTATAAATCCATTTGTCTGCTTATAAATTTGATAATCCTATCTTTCAGTATAAGTTTTGAATTTCTTAACAGTTTTGATTAAATTTATTTTGCTGAGACAACAAGAACAAATTTCAATATATATATATATATATATATAAATAAATAAATAAAAAATTTCAATATGTCCAAATCTTCAAACATTAATCCAGACAAATTCGAATTGATTTAAAATTAACAAAATAGAAAGTGGTTTTTTTTATTAGAGCATCTCCAACTCACCTCTATATTTGCCTTTAAACTCTATTTTAGAGGCAAATTTACTCCAACCCACCTCTATTCTCACTTCTAAAATAGAGATCTCTATTTTTTTTCTCTATATATAGAGGTGAGAATAGAGAATCTCTATTTTTTCCTCTATAAATAGAGTTAAACTTTTTAGAGGAAAAAATAGAGGAATACATTGGAGTAAAAATAGAGAAAACTTACCTCTATTATAGAGATAGAGATAAAAATAGGGAAATACATTGGAGATGGTCTTAGTATATACTCCCTCCGTTTCAATTTAGTTGTCGTTTTAGGATTTAAATTTTGTTTCATAATAGTTGTCGTTTTAGGTTTTCAATGCAAATGTTTGGTGAAAATTCCAGTTTTATCCCTACTGTTTTAATGTTTTGGCCAATGAATTTTTTTATAAAATATATTAATAAAGGGTAAAACAGAAAATTTAATGCTTTTCTTAATTTGTGTGCAAAAACATTAAACGACAACTAAAACGAAACGGAGGGAGTATAAAAAATGTTTGAAGAGGAAAAAAGATTCTCATATTTATTGTTCATGTACGGATTGCCACTTGCGTGCCTTTGAAGAAGAAGATAAAACTGAGCCGTGAATAAGAAATTGTTTTCTAGTAACCCTTTTCTTAAAAATATGATTAACATTTCAAAAAACGATAACCTTTAAAGTTCTCCAGAGCACTTTTCTTAAGAAATACGTTACATACCAATATTCAAATATGAAACTAAAAATAATATGTACTCGAATAGAATAAAATTGAAGAATATGCTTTTGAATCCCAAAATTAATCACTACATTTTCCAATTTCCCAGTTAATCTACCACACTTATAGTAAGATTCATTCATTCACAACTTATAGATGAAAGATTGTTAAAAACAATATTGGAGGGTAGTAAAAGAGAGATGTACTTGTTTTTATCCATCCATTTTTTTTCTTTTATAAAATTAATAATTTGGCAACGATTTGATTTGAACATGAAATAACTAACAAATTAAAGTTAAAGAGAAATATGTCTGTCCTCATTTCTGACCTTTTTCTGTGCTTCAGGTTCTCTATGCTATTGTATACTCCAATCTCTCTCAGAGTGGTCCTTGTGTAAAATTTCTCCACATTTTCTTGTTATTAACAATATACACAGTTTATGAGAACACTAGTGCGATAGAAACTAGAAAGTGGAAGACAACCCACAATTACCCCAAAAAAAAATTTTATAAAGAAATTTCAGTTTTATGTTATGTTATGTTACCAAATACAATTTTTGAATCCAATTTCTGCTGGTAAAAGCTTTATAAATCTAAGAAGTAAAAAAAATCAAAATACAAAATAATCAACTTTCACAAAAGAATATCAGACAAAGACCCAAAAGATAAAAAGACCAGAAGAAAGTTATTTTGTTATAGGTGTGTGTTGTTGGTACTATCCCTTGTTCTAAAAATCGGCCACCTAGTCGCCTAGGCGCTGATCGGAAGAGAACCGCGGCGATTTTGTCCAAAGCGGTAAGAAAAATCGCTGGTCCGATTTTTTGTCCGCCTAAACCGCCTAGGCAGCCGCTTAGCCCAAATTTTTTTTTTTTTTTTTGAATCTAAAATTCAAAAACATCCTACTTATATTCGTAATTTGTATAAAAATCATAAATTTGAAATCTTGTTTTCATGTGTTTAATATAATTTAAAAAACGATATGATATAAATTTCTTAATTATAATGGACTAATATGTTTTTAAAACATTAAATAGCCCTAAAACTAATTTCCGATTAATCCCCGTTTAATCTCCGATTTTCTTGCTAGGCGCTAGGCCTACCCTCACCGCCCGACTCGCGCCTAGCGATTTTTTAAACATGGATACTATCCTCTTCTACTCTTTAAGAATTTCTAATAAAAAAAAGTACTCACATGTGTGTAATCAAATTTTCTTTTCAAACAAAAATTCTTCCTTTTTTTGGGATGTTAGTGCAGGACATGTTAATGATGAACTCAGAAACAGCATCAGACCCTCTCTCTCTATAGCTTTAGATCCACTTTTTACCTGAGTTAGGTCACAGTCACAGGAGTGCTTGACTTGCAAAATTTAGGGCAAAAATAAGAAACTCTAGTACAACAATAATTCACCTCAAATATGGTAACAAAGAGATGACCATACCATACCTCTTTCAACTCTCAGATGTTAAAGAAGATTATGTTCCATCACCACCTCTCAACTCAAATATCAGTCCCTTTTTTTGTGATTTTATTAGTCTTCTCTAATCACTCTCTTTTGCTAATCATAAAAACTGGGGCTGTTCCAATCTTTTTGTCAAAAATCTACGACGCCCGCGTGCTCTAAATGGTGGTAGGGTCTGATGAGGAGACACTAACATATTAAAAGAGGGTTTGTTTGATAGCCACAGAAAACTAAGAGTGATCATTAAGGTTGAAACAAGGTATGTCCTTGTTTGATCTACAGGAGAGAACCATGTGAACTCTCATAATAAAAAAGTTTTCCAATGGTGGGCATTGTTCTTCATGTACCATCCTACTTTGTGTGCCTCTACTTTTGCAGCATACATTACACCAAAGAAAACAACACATACCAATCCCATAATTCTCATAAATGATGCCTATGAACCAATCCAAGAATGACAACACATACCAATCCCATAATTCATAACACACTCACACAAGCAAACTCATAACCGGTGGTTCTGGTATCTGGTTTATTTGGTTAACACTAAGAACCAATTTTAAGGAGCAATATGGTGGATGGAAACTTTTACATGTGAGATTTGTTACCGTGAGAAGGTCATATCAACTGAATTTTGAGATCGGGACTTTATACCTCCTTGGCCATCTAAGCTTGACTGTGTTTTCTCAGTCTAATCAACAGAGTTTTCTGCAGGAAATGCTGTAGAAACAGCTGACACATAACAAATTCTGTCAGCGATAATTGAGCAAGTTTATGATGTCACAATCAATCAATCACAATAATACCCAGCTTCTAAATTTCAAAAAAGAAGTATTCAAGAAAGGAACAATCATGGACCTTTCTCATTCAAGCTTCAATTATAGCTATTTTAACAAAATAATATCTCTCAACAAGGTAGCTCCACGAGTGTAGAAGACAGTCTCTTACATATTGCAGGGGTGGGTCCAATCTCACAGGCATCTCCTGCAACCTTAAACATTCTAAGTTATTACAGAACCTTTGATGTACTTGGATTACATGTTGAAACTAAAGCCTATAATTATAAACCTATACCTAGAAGATGCATAACTTTCACAAACCTTAGACAAAGATGAGATTAGCAAACCAAGGGCAACACAAAGAGGTAGAGATTCGAGAGAAAACCTATGACCGAGCTTGCTATAGTATACCCAACAAGGCGGAGGCATCGGATGAATCAATCATTTGATTCTGGCAATTTTAGCAACGGTTTTCTTCTCTGACGATAACGAAAGACTCTGTAACATAGTACAGAATATGTTGGCTACACTAAGAATGAGAGCAAAGATAAAGAAACCGAGTTACAGGTAGGAAATATTCCCAAACGCAGAGGAACCACAGATATTGGCAAGCATAGCATGTTCACAGTAACGAAAAACGTCTAATCAATCAGTGATGGTCTCATTCCCAACATTCCACATGCCAGTGTTTATTATTCCTCAATTTATCTTTCCAAAGCTCGAAACAACGGAGAGAAGTTACATAGAGAGAAAATGGTAAAATCTCCACAAACTACAAAAGTAAGCTAAGAAGATTACACTCATCCACAACTTCAATGTTTCAAACACAATAACATCAATGTGAAAGGTTTAGCCTTTCAATATTCAGGCCTAGCTCGATTACGATGCAAGTGTATAAGATCTCATTATTCACATTAAGGATTGTATAACACAAGATTTCATACAAGAGCATTGTAGTCAAACAAAAGGAACAATCTTTGACTCATGAACAATAAAATTCTTCTTCTCAATGTAATCGAAACAATTACAGCAACAACAACATTTTGGATACTTTTGTTACCTCCCAAAGAGTTCAAATCTCAGAAATCGAAGAGCAAAGAGAGCTTCTACAATCCCAAAGCAAGCACCAGCAGCTACATCGAGAACATAATGTCTGCCTAAGAGAATCCTTGAAAATGCAGTAACTGTTGCCCAGATCCATACAACCACCACAACTTCTGGTTTGACATCGCCATCGTGATTATCTCTGATCCAACCATCTAAGAAAGAGTAGCTCGGATCTACCATTGTAGCTTCAGCAGCAGCAGAGAAGAAGTGAACGGAAGCGGCAACGAAGAAGACGCGAGAAGCGTGACCTGAGGGAAACGAGTAGTGATCAGCTGATACAGCGGCGGACATTGAAGGGTGATTGTAAGCGGGACGAGCACGACGGAAGATTAATTTCACTAATGCGATTAAGATTAGATCGAGGAGGAGGCCGAGGAGGAAAGGGATGAGGAAAGAGCGTAACGGAGGGGAGAGGAGGAGGGAAAGGGATACAGGGAAGGAGAATCGGAAATCGGCGGAGATTTCTAGGAGAAGGAGGAGAAATGGTGGAAGGAATGGCTTCGCCGCCGTGTGAATTGCGCGAGATACGGTGGCGTCCACCGCTAAGATGGGACCGACGATAATCGCCGCCGTCGACGGAGACATAACTGTTGTAACAGATCTGAGCAAAAAATAAAACGACGACGTTTAAGGGGACGGAAGAGATTAGTCAAAAAAGATTTTTAATTGTGGATTCGAGCTAAGGAAACGACGTCGCTTTCGTAGAGGAAAGGTAAATATCTGTTTTTTCTATTAAGCCCATAAAACAGACAGTTATATTGGGCCTTATTTATTAAGCCCATAATAGAGAAAAGGAAGATTTAGGGATCAGCCACTATTCCTCTCTAACATGACCACCTACATATATATTAAGCGACCGGTAAAAGTGACTCTTGTTATTATTGTTCTTGTTAGTTCATCGATATATTTTGGCAACATATATAAATTCTAATCACTGTAAAATAAAATTTTAATCAACGGTATAAAATTACTATCGCCAACGAACACAGTATAATTATTAATCATTGTCGCTAGTAACTGCAAAACGAACATAATTTAATCGTTGGTTACTATCGTAGTTGCAATCAATATGCCTAATATGTTACTATATCCTTTTTCTCATCATCATTCTAATATTTTTCTTACTTGTACAAGTGTGCAATATGACATCAAACTTCAAGTTTTTTTTTCCTTTTTCTCTACCTATTCTTTTGACAATAATGAGGCTGCTTTTTTAGTTTGTATGTTCAAAAAAACCTTAGAATCGGTCCCTCCTGATTCGGTGATTCCCTTACCTTATTGTTACACTACAGTAAATTTACTCGGATTCCTATTTAATATAAGTCAATATCTCCATAAATAACACCCGACACAACACTTAAATCGTTCAATTCTTGATATGTTAAAAGGAAACACTGCGTCAATTTGCTTTCCTCATTAAATGTAAAGAAAATTCTTGCTTCTTCACCTAACTTCTCTCTTATCACTCTGCCTCTTTTAATCATAAATTCAATAACTTTCAAGAAATAAAATAATATATTATCATCAATATCAGTCCTCGCACGTATACAAATACAACAACCAAAAACAAGAAAACCAAAACTAATACAAATCTCGCATTCACAGAATATTTCTTTAGTTATAATCGATCCGTTGTATGATTTGAGTCACCAAGTTGAGCCAAATATTATCATATTGATACGAGATTGAGAAGATTTGGGCAAAAGTAGCAGAAAACAGGGAGGGTGCGTTACACGCGCCAAACTTTTTTCTCTCCCAATTTTTCCAGCCGTCAAACCCTAGCTTCGTTGTTGCGCTCGCCTCTCCGGTCACCGGCACTCCTTGCCGGTACCGTGAGAGGGCTCTTTGTCGTTGTATTTCTTTTCCTTCGTCATGTTTGTTTGCTCCGGCGGTGGTGGCGTGGATCGACTATTCTTCTCTGAAGCCAAGTGTTGGTGGTGAGCCATCGCTTGGAGAGAATTTTCTCGCCATTGGGGTTGGGTCGCCGATGCTAGTGGTTGCTTGAGGACGGTGGCTATGGTGTTTGGCGTCTCTGGTGGTTTTTGGCGAGTCATCTTTCTTCGCGGTGGTTTCTGATCTGTTTTCAGATCTTGGTTCATGGTGGCTTTGAGTTGGCCTGGGAGCAGTTCGGTCTCCTCACGGTGGTTGTGCTTGTGGCGTCTCAGGATTCCGGTGTAGCTAGCCTGTATCTCCTCGCCTTTCTCCTTGTTCAGGGTTGGTGTCGATCCGGTTCCTCGGCTTCATCACGGAGCTTCTCTTCCTTCGTTTCGGTCTCTCCTTCATCGGTTTTCTCCAGCTTTCGGGTGCTGAGTTTGAGGCTTCGGATCTGTGGCACAAGTGGAGGCTTCCTTGGCTTTTGCTTTGCAATAGTGGCTTTTGGTTGTTCGTGTGGCAGATAGGCTCGCCGTGAAGAAGTTTCTTTGGTTTATGGCGAGTCTCCTCTTTCTTGTGAGAGGACGTTGGTGTCAGTCTCGTCTTTCGTTGCAACTTGTTTGTGGCGTCTCGTCAGGTTCCCTTATCTCAGTTTCTGTGGTTCGATGTTGGTGTTTCTTTTTCGTGTACCAGCTTTGGAGGTGTGCGTCTTGTCTGAGTGGAGTCTTCTAGGGAAGAATAGAGGCGGCGCTTTGGTCTTCGTGGCATCGCTTATCCGTGGGAGATGGTTCCTGTTTTAGTGATAGGAATGGTGATCGAAGGTGGTTTCTTTGGTTGCCCGCAGATGCTCCTGTAACCGTCGGGTTTGTGAATTAGTCTACTGTTGTCATTGCGTTTTTGCGTTAGTTTGCGGAGAAGCTGCAGGCGCCTTATCCGGAGGTTTTGAGGACTGGCCTCTGCTAGGGTCTGCTCGTGGCAACTAGGATGGGACTCCGGCTCCTTGGTTTCTTGGAGTTGTGGAAATCACGCAAATTTCCGAGTTTGGCATCTCGGAATCGGTGTTTCTTCTCTAATTTCCGCTCTACGTTTTCGTTTTTCTCCATTGTTGTTTTGTATTGTCTGCAAATTCTGTAGTTTTTGGTTTTTTCCGCTACTTGTATTCCTTGTAATTTCTGTCGAAACTTCGAAAATGGTATAAATACTTCACATTTTACCAAAAAAAAAATATTATCATATTTTTGTTCTATTATAAAAATAAACAAATCGAACAAAAAATCATTGCAATGGGCCAGGCCCAGGAGAAAAAAGAGAAGGGTAAAATAGTAATTATAGCGATCATAATAAAAACGCTCGCGGGTAGCGTAAGATGCATACATAACTTGTTCAAGACTGAAGAGAGAAAGAGAGACAAGACAAGACAATAAAGATCCGGATCCGGATCCGGTAACCCGAACATGCCAAACGGGTGGATCAAATCATTGCAATGCAAATCAAAAGCGTTCGATGATGTCTACAATTTCAACAATAAATCACTAATGTCGTCGTCAAGTTACAATTGTAGTCGAAAGAGCTCACATTGCGTCAAATACGTGATCGATACCCGATTCGGTAAGAAAAACCCGAAACCCGACCCGAATTTAAGGCGTTTGAAGTCTTGTCGAACCGAAACAGAGCTTCTTAACCCGCAAACCCGAACCCGACGAAGCAAATCTGCTCGAACGTCAGATGCACTGACCGAGCTGCCCGATGGTCACCCGTCAAGAAACGTAGTGGAGATTATATTCCAGTCTAGCTGGAGCTCCGACGAGTTTCCGGGTCGGATCGAGATGATTTTCAAAGTTGAAAACGGGTCGAGGACTGTGACCCGGTTCGAGGAGTACAGAGAGATTGTGAAGTCACGTGCGGGTTTAAACGAGGGCACGTGTGAAGAAGAGGACGCACGGTGTTTGGCTGATGGTAACGAGATGATGAGGTTTTATCCGGTTCTTGATGGGTTTAACGGTGGCGCGTGGGTTTTCGCCGGCGGGAAAGGTCAGGCGGTGTGTACGTTTTCGGGTAGTGGTGAAGCGTACGTGAGTGGCGGAAGTGGCGGAGGGAGGAAGGCGATGATGATTTGTCGGGTGATAGCGGGTCGGGTTGATGATAGAATCGGGTTCGGGTCGGACTCGGTAGCTGGTCGTGACGGCGAGTTGTTTGTCTTTGATACACGTGCGGTGTTGCCTTGTTTCCTAATCATTTTCAGATTGTGAGATAATAAAATTTATATATAGTTTTTGTTTATAGACCTTGAATTTTTGTTGGTTTTTTGGGTCAACTAACCTGGAATTTCACAGTTATTCGTCAATCGATTCCAATTACTTATGTTCTCGAAGTGGTGAAGCGTACGTGTCAATAATTGCATGAAAAATAAGCAAAATATGTTATTGACACCGTTGAGAATTGAAGGGTTCATGAGCTAGACTCATGGGACTTGGATAGATAGATGATATCATGATATATGTCACTGATATTGTGGCCTCCGTAACTCTTCTTGCGGGTACCATGTTTTAAGGCTTTGAGTGTTTGAGAAGTCACCATTGATCGGCCTCTTCACAATATGATCATGAATTCATGATGTGTTGCGATTTGATTAGCGACCAACAAATCATCTTTAGTTATCCCACCCAACCTGTTGAAAAACAAAATTAGATGTCCGACCCATAAATCTTTGTTTTGATAAGAATCTATATATGAATTTATGGAAAGAAACACTTTATCTTAAAGATAATTGTAGAAACATACATTTTCTATCTTTTTAAGTGGAATCGATATTTTTTTGTTACTTTTAAAAAGGAACTAAAATCATGAAAATCAATTTATAAATATTTAAGTTATATGTACTTGAAAATCATGTTTTCACAATAACTTTAAAATAAAGTGGGTTTTTACTCATGTCTTAGGTTTTCACTTTGTTAATATAGTGCAACATTTAGGTCTTTATATGCGTCGGGCCAATTTTAATTTTTACTCTTTTTTGTTTTTGTGGGATTGGTATATGTGTTTTAGTTTGACTTCAGAAAATGTGATTGAAAACATAATCATGGCAAACACAATCTGGTGGAAGACTAAATGTGATGATATATAATTACGATATGAATGGAGATCCTAATCATAGTTCTTGTCGACTTGACCTAAGAAAATATTTTATTTGTCTCTTATAATTATGTTTCTTAACCATATGATGCATGTATGTAGAACTCGGCTGCAGACACGATATATGGGAATGTTAATGTTCAAAGAAAGTTAAGTAATAGTGCCTGTCAAAAATTTTGTGGGTGTTTTGGCTGTTTGCTTTGCTAGTTCAAATACTATGTTGATAGTTGAAAAAAAAACAACAACAACACTTTTCTCAAATGTATTTTGAAAATATGTATTTCCACCAACCCATAGATTCTCAAACCCATAAACCATGATAGTGTTATGATGGGTATATACCGATACTTGGTATGATTCACATTGATCTTACCTAAAATGTTTGAAGTTACTCCACAAATGATAATTGTTTAACTACTTTTTAACAGCAAAGAACTTTGGATTATTTGTTCCAGCTAATCCGCCAGGACTTAAATCAAAATATTTTAGAATCCAATAACAAGTCTGCATAATCCGAATTTTCGGTGCATAACCAAATTAATTAACCGAATAATTTATCCAAATAAGTAAAGCTAAAATCATCATCGGTACTCCACAAGCATACATAGTGGCTTCCCCTTAAGTCTCTGCCTTCCCTGCAAAAAATTAAATTTCCCACCTCAAAAAAATTAAATGTCACACCAATACAAAAGATCTCAATTTACTGTATTCGAATATAATGAATTAAATTCCACGACAACGAACCTTTAATTCGGGTAACTCGATCACACATGCACATTCCACAACTTCTGCTCCAACCCTCTCTAACATGGTCCAAAAACCATTCACAAAGAGTAATAAATTTCTTATATCGATTAGGTTTGAAATTCATAACTCAATTGATTTTCATATAGCTTAGGAAATTTACCAAGCAAGTTAATGGCAGCGCAGAGAGTACCACCGGTCGCAATTAGATCATCAACGACCAAAGCTCGATCTCCAGCCTCGACAGCTCCTATGTGCATCTCTAGACGGTCATTTCCGTACTCTAACTCGTATTCCTCAAATATTGTTTCACCTAGTTACATTTCATGTCATGTAACAATAAACGATTAAGTTAGGCATTTAATGGTAGTACTACTTCAAAATTAAATCATATGAAAGGTATGCAAGTTTAAGAACCAGGCAGTTTCTTGGGTTTCCGAAGAGGGACGAATTTTGCTCCAATGGCTAGCGCGATTGGTGGACCGAATAGGAAACCGCGAGCCTCTATTCCTGAAATGATAGCAAACTAGGTATTATACGTTTATGCCAATTAGCAAATAAGATCTAGTTAAGTAGCGTAAATCACCATAACTTTTATCTATCTTTAAATATAAACGCAATTATGTATGTGGTTATTATTACAAGAGTCCAAATAAGAACATTGGTACAGAAGAAACGCTAAGGAATGACTCTCTGTCCCAACAACAAACCCAATAGACAGATTCTAGAGCACTAACACAAAAGATACGGGTCAGTGCTACAAGTAGATAGGTATTGTATGGGCTTAATAATATGGAGTCCTTTAAATGTTTTTTTATTATAAGTCTTACTTATTTTAACCAAGAAAATATTTAATCATGTGTTATGCACATATAAACACTTCCTTTAACACTGGCTTTATGACAATATTAAAAATGTTTAAGACTTTTTTTGAAATAGATAAATGATTAAAACGTTAGAATTTCATCGAGTTTTCTATGTTTTCCGCAGATAACTATAAAGTTTGGTATAATATCAAATGAGTTTGTATGGTTTTGATGATTTCTTTCTTTTAAATCTGTCTAGGCAAGATTCTATGGATTTGAAAAGGCGACTGAAAAAGTATGTAGATTTTAAAAAGTAAGAAAGAAATGATGTACTTCACCATACTCTTACAACAGTAACAAAGTTACAAAGTCTTTGTACTTCATTACATAGAAGAAGAGAGACATACAGAAAAAGTGAGAAGAAAAGAATTGGCCAAAACAATGATGATAGAAAAAGAAAGAAAACCCAAATCAAGTTTTTTTTTGGGGCCAACTCTTTTGAAAAGGTTACATCCATCACTCAACTACCCATCTATCCAAACAATACCCACCACATACACACATATACACACACACAAACACACTTTTCACATAAGTAATAAGATCAACAATTATAAGCTTTTAGAAAGTAAAATAAAATAGAAAAGAAAAAACAAAAAAATTTCTTCTATGATTTGGGAGGAAGAATGATCCAGGCAATCAATCTCATTCAATCACTCAATCAGACAGAAAGATTAGATTTCAGAGATAAGAGAGAGTATAGTCTCAACCAAATTTATATCGAATATATGATAATAACGAAACGATTCGATTCGAATCTTTTATCTACAATTTCTGTATATGTAAACGTCAAACACAAACGATATTTGTAGACATGACCTTCTAATTCTGATACATCATATTAACTGTTTTGTACACATAAATTTATTCATTTATAAATTCAAATACAACCGCACAAAAACAAGGACAATAGTTTTTTTATTTATTAAAACAACCAGTGATAAGTGATAACAAGGTTTAGCCAAATTGTCAAGTATTTTCCATCAAAGTGTACAATCAGACTGTGTACAATACAATGTAAAAGAAAAGGTTTCATAAAACCAAAATTACACGGACAATAATATTTTTAAGATTCCACTAATTACCATTTGACTCTTTTTTTATAAAGACTCCACTAATTACCACGCACCAGCAAATTAACTATTTACGGGTCAGATATACATTAAATTAGCCTTTATAGGAAGAAAAAAATGAATTTCAGTAATAGTTTTTTCCTACATAAACTAAAATATATTCGACACTATAAACATGACCTACCCACTTTTTCCCCGGAAAATCATCAAAACAATAAAATAATCGAGTTCACTCAAATATGTCGAATCTTTTGAATAGTAATTCCATCGAAATTACACTATATCCAAAGTTTAGAAAATTAATAAAATCATGAATTGCAAATAGAGATAATATTTACCTGCAACCACTGAGATGTTCTTGTCTCTGTACCTCTCCACAAATAGATCAATTGTGTCTTTGAAGGCTTTCGGATCCAACAACACTGTTGTTATGTCCTGAAACATTATTCCTGCATTTTTTTCCTCATATTATTACCCTCTCTATTCGTTCTTACACATATTTTTTTTCTCTATGTAACAATTCTTGTTTTTTTTCTCAGGAAAATATAAGAATTGTCAAATTACAACTTCATAGCAAACCAAAACAAAACATATTTAAGACCAAGAAAACTTTTAAAAAAAAAACGTCTAAATCAAATTTCTGTCGGCAACAATATATATTAGAAAATTCAGACTAAGAAACCTGCATTTTCACGTTTTTCAGCCAAACAACATTTTCCATGCGATGAAACAGAGCATAACAACTCCAAAATAAGGAAGGAAGAAGAAAAAGTTACCTTTCTTGGGAAAATCTGGAACGACACGGATCTTAGTTTTGATTCCATGGATACGAGGATCCTCTTCTTCTTTGTTTCCCGACATTGTCAACGAAGAGCAAAGGATAAATAAATCAACCAAAGCACAGAGAATGTAAATCCTCTGTTTTTCTTTAAGGGTATCTTCTCTTCTTTCTCTCTCTCTCTCTTGTTCAAGTAGTTTGGGTGAGAGAAAGAGAAAGTGAAGCAGTCATAGTACTCTTACCACTATTTATATCTTGAAAATAAAAATTTTAAAAATTGGTTAGATTCTCTGTGTTTAAAATGTAGTGTGCTTAAAATGTGTTAAAATCTGATTACCAAAAAAAAAAAATTGTATTAAAATCTCTCTGTACAACTGTAAAGTCCAATAAGATAATTAGTAATGAATAAATTTCTAAAAATATGTCATCCAACAAAATCTTCCAAAATCTAAAAGGTATATATTTAGCATAGTTTATAAGGTGGCCAATAAACTAAATTATAGGTTTTATAATTTTTAAAATTAAAACATTTTAGATGATCTGTAAGAACTTTGTATAAATTTGCAATACTATAATCATCATGATTTTTGGGTGGGTTTCATAATCTTTGGATGATTTGCTTTTTATAATTTATGCATGGAAAATCTATTGGATTAATTTTAAATTTCAACGTATAAGATTGTAATGAAGTAGTTTAAATATTTAAT